CAGTCTTGTCACATCCTTTGTTACTTCCTTCGTGATTCCTTTCTTGTTATGTTTTTCCACCGTGACGGGCGACGGTCACGTTAAGTATTATTTCTGATTTATTTTGATTAAGATTTTATGTTGAAAAAACAGCAACGCGCACTCAACAAATTTCTTCATGTTACTGACAATTTGATGATCGTTTGCTGGGTTGCAATAGCATGCGTATCACAGTAGGATTTTCAATAATTGCATTATAATCATTAATCTCGGATTGTGACGACATTAAATGTAATTACGAACAATGGCACATCATAACCTTATTTTAAAGACAAACTGGCAAATACTTCGGGACTTATACAGGCGGATGCCACCGGGTGATTAGTATTTTGGAATAGGTATTATAGTATTATTTATGGGATGGTCGACAATTAAAATTAAATTCCGTATTGTGTATCTCCTCATCAATTGTGTGAAAATGTGCTGATATTGTGCAACTGGGATGCAACAGCGTTCTCACACCTTGAAAACCACAAAACACAATAACTTCACCATCAACCGACACCATCTGGCTACTATTTAGTGTATCGCTCTACCGACTGTTGTATATCATATAATAATTGTGTTGTATGAATGTTGATGTATTAAAAATAATACATGAATTTCAAAAACAATAACAATTAGCCGTCATTTGTTTGATGTAATACATACTTAGTAGATTTTACACATCATTTTTATAACATTGATTGTCAATTATTATTAGAACTTTCTTATCGTCCATTGTTGTTAGTTGTTACGTAGATTTGAACGCATACACATGCACCATGTAATAGATTACTCGTTGTAATAATCTTAGTTACCCATATATCATAATTAACAATATAATGAAAATATTTTCATTACCTGTTGACTGTTGATTCACACACACATAGCAACCTAGAAACTGACTACGGCCAAAGTGTAAATTTACCCTATTTTTGGGGTTTTTCCTTAATAAAAAAAAAATTGACTATAGATTTTTGAGAAAATTGTATATGTTATAGTTCCATTTTAGATCCGCTTTCAATCTAATTTTCAGATCTAAATCTCTAAAACTTTGCTTGAAAATGTGAAATAAAGAAAAAAATTCTATCCCTATTCTAGGGGAAAGGGTTTATTTTTTTGTTTTGTTAATGTTTATCGATAGTAATATGTTTGAAGAACAATTCACATAAATTTGGAACTTTTTCGACTATTTTTAAAAGTTATAGAGCATTGTAATTTTAAGTTGAAAAATTTGTAAATTGTTTGGGTGTTTTTCTCGATTTTGATTGGGGAGGGGTGACTTTTTAAAATTTTTGGCCAGATAAACTACTTTTCAGGTATGATTTCTGATCTATAGAATTGCTACACGAAAAATCGGTTCAGCGGTTTACGAAATATCGTGGGTCCAGACACAAAAAAAAAAAACACATTGTTAAAACAATACCGTCTCAGCTCCACACCAATGCTAAAAAGATTAAAATTACATATCCCACTCAGAGTTATATTTTATAAATATCTTTATACTATGTACAATGTACATTGTACAACATATCAACAAAAATGCCTCAAAAAAAAAATTAAAAACCCGTTTAAACAAAGTAAAATGGTTTCTTACTTGGTTTAATCGGTTTTTTAAAAAGATTGTTTTTTCGAATTACGGCATTTTTGCTTAGGAGGGTAGTATATTATTCAACAATTGGAGGTCGACGAACGCGTTCTATAATAAAATAATCTAATAATATCAAACGACTGCGTATCATTTTACCGACATAATAATTGCTAATTTGATATCTTCCATTTTAAAGGTTTTAAAAATGAACATTAAATAGTTAATAGACGCAATCAGACATTTTTTCGCAATTATTATTTTTATGTATCACTTACGCTCAATACACACGCATTTTTTTCACACACTATTGGTGTGGTATCATTCAAAATAGAAAACGCTAACGACGTCCAAAAAAAATATCATCAAGTGTGTTATGTGTACAATAATATTGTACATATAGTATATATATATATATATATATATAAATAATAATGGTTAGAAATCGTACATTTCCCATATTTTATATGTAAAGAAAATTTAACAATAACAATAACATATTAACTATATTATATTATTTACACCAACTAGTGTTTGCACTTTTTATTATCCTACATTATGAATTTCCCCCGCAATTCGGTTTATCCGCTTATCGACGGTGTTGTTCAGACAATATGTAAAAATGTAAAGATAGAATAATAATGTAAAGATACAATAATATGTATTCTATACAGTGGCACTTTCACACAAGATGCTTCAAATACGCTGTATTGTAGTTGCGTACCTACATAGTACTTATAAAGTGGTCGGTGCTGGGAAAACAAATCAAATATAAAAATGCATATTGTTAACGTGGACGATGAGCACCTATAGAAGCCGTTAAACAAATCGATTATGACAAATCACGGTTCGATACACTTTCTTAACGACTCACTTCTATCGAGTGTTTTTAATACGTATTAAAATTCTTTTTTTCTTAAATTTAATTATTTTAGAGAAATAGTTCTATAAACGCATTATAAATAATAAAACAACTGGTTGGATTTTTATATATTTCTGTTTTTTTTTTTTTTGTAACAGCAACCACGCTCGTCAACTAGTGCATAATCTGATGACCTATGAGAAGAGTTCAGCTTTTTTAGCGCTGTTATTATCACGTCATTAGCACTGTGTAATATATTAGCTGTAAGTATAACCGTTTGCGTTGAAAGCGAATGTGAAATTGCTATAGTAGAGACGCGCCCCGGTACTAATCAAATAATGTAAGATACAATGAAGGAGGAAAAAACTTCTAACAATGTTTTTAGAAAATCATTATCCGCTTTTTACAGTCTCTTTCTCTCTCGATAATTATAACCCGAGTCCTAGGACGCTAATAAATCAAGTTTGTTTCTTCTTGCTGCAATACCAGCAATAACCACCGTTGTGTTTAAACATGTGTTTAAACATTTTTTTTAATAAAACTACAATATGATGTACACAATTGTGTGTTATGTTATTGAAACGAAAGTCTCATATACCAGTCACGAGGGCGTCGTGAATTGACGAATGTCATTTTTACTCCTCCTCTTATAAATTTCCTGTAAAAGTGATCATAGCAAACGTAAGAGGTTGTTTTGGGAGTGAATACTTTTTTTCATTTTTACAATATTATAATTATTATTATTGAACTATAGTTGTTTGTAATCACAAAAAAAAAATAAATACAAATTAATAATAATTTCAGTAATAATTTGACATGAACCTACACGGTCGAGTGTTGTAAATATAAAATAATAATAGCCCATTACTCGAATGTTGGTGTTTTTTTTATTTTATAAATATATGTTTTCGATTTACCCGCGGGTCATTGGACGGCTACCGTGCAAAGGCAGTCGTCGGTAAACGTACAATCTACATGGAAGAAGAAAGTTAAGCCTATTTATGCGCTGTATACATCTTATAAAATAAAATAATAAAAGTGGTTTTTTCCATTGTTTATTGATTGTACGGGCAATTGCACATATGACATACCCGCAATTATTTTGAACCGAACTATAACGTGCGTTCGACTCTTCCTTCATGTTTTTTTTCTCTCCCTATTTCAAAATCGTTTACTTCGTCTCTCATTAGCTTTTCCTACTGCACCTCAGAGTCCACACGCGATTCCTTAGTCGTAGGTTTATTTTCCGTACTAAGATATAACTAAACGGTTTGTCTCTAAGCGATTGTTTAGGTCGTGTAGTAATTATAACGATTACAATATTATTATTATTATTACAGAAACGAAAACGTTTAAATACGGTTCGTGTAATAGCGTGTGAAATGCAAACATTTAAGAAATCCTAAGCGTTTGCATTCCAAATGATAACAACAGTTAGACCAGAAGTTTCTCATTAATTTATTTGCCGAGACAATGTGAGAAATTGTAGGCCTTACGTTTATACGCGGTCGTGTACTTATTACATAGTGTTATAATAATGTTTAGCAATGTTTTTTTTTAATTTTCTGATTTATTACTTTGTAAAGGAATAGACGAGTTGGTGTTTTAGATAACGCCTTAATCCTGTATGGTTACTTATGAGTTATGAGTTACATATTAAAACAGAACTTTTTTGGAAATTTTAAAAACAAGAAGCTCGGGGTATCAAGAGTGTTTTTTAAGAACTCCATAAGAATCCTGAAATTATGGTCCTAAATATAATTTTAATTTTTGAAGATCACATTAATATCTCGGCGAGTACTGAATGTCGCAAACAAAAACTGTTGTGCTGTCAACAATAATTTATTATTCGCCAATTTAATTCTTTCGGTTTTGACAATCGTTTGCATCGTGTTATAGCTGGACTACACGGCGGCGGCATACATGTCAAATACATAATGACTTTGACCCGACTTTATCTAACAAAACATAATTGTTTTTATTGTTGTTATTATTATTATCACACTTCGCGGGAACATCATTAAAATATCTTGATCGATCGGTCGGTTTTATTTTACAACATCCTTATGGTGTGCCTTGTTGTGCAGACAATAATAGTTGCTATATCACTGCGTGGATGATTTCAAACAGTCGGCTTATCGTGCTCATCTACCCGGTCCGACGTCGATTCGATCCCAAGAAACGGCAATTAAACGATAAACAACTGAGATAATAATTAATATAATTAAACGCGGAAAATATCACTATACCGCGGTGATTCCTCGATTAGAGTCGTATCAATCAGTAAGTAATCCCAACAAGGCATACATTTGGCGTCCGCCTTCACTCGTTCCTTTAGGTCTTGCCTGTTGTTTATCTTTTAATTTTTTAGACTAAAAATACTTGCGGTTTTCTCATACTCGTGTTTAGTGTCTACAACTTATGTTAGCATTTAACCGCGTACTTTGCCGCTTTGTTTCTGCTAGTACTTTGTCGTCGACCGTGTAGAAGTATTTTAATGATATTATTTCTTTTTTTTTTTTGCTACAGGTACGCTAAATTCGTGAACAGAACGCACGACTGCAGAGCAAAGGTGTAATCGAAGGTAATATTTTGCTTCTTCGTAGAGTACTATTGCCATAGTACTTAACTAGGTATATGGGATGTTAATGGTTTTTAAATGAGGAGTACGCGCGGGTGTCCTCGGTTAGGCGAGTGGTCGTTTTTGAATGCGAAAACAGTATCTATAGTGTTATTTAAGGAGTATTTTTAAAAAAAATGTAAACTTCAAAACCAAGACTACAGACGGACTTCGCACCGATTGCATACGACGGAGGCAAGCACGATGGCGTCGAACGTTGATTATCTATGTCCGCCACCTCTTAATATTTTTCTATATTATCTCTTGTGTTATATTGCGTAACGAGTAAGTCCAGACGAATTCTATTGCTCCCGTCTCCGACCCACAGCAGTCACTAATCGACAAACCGTGGAAATCTTTCCAAACACGACCGGTGTTTCCGCTCGCGGATCGTATACAGTATGTCTCAGAACAACAAATGCAGCGCCGGTGGGTTGCATTTCCCTTATTAGCCATTAGGCACGATAGACAAGCACCTGTTTGTGATCTCCAATTATTACCATGTCCATAATAATAAAGACACGTAGGGCCGAAACACCGTTGTAGACCTCTATAATAAACCAATTGTTTAAATCAGTTGAATTTCGGCTGAACCCGAACAACGAAAATTAAGCAACGCAGCAATAATTCGGGACACACTGTACATGATGATATATATATATATATATATAATATACATGTATTTTTTCCATAATCCTATACACACACGGTTTGAATTTACTAACGAGGTATCCAAAGTATACTTACGGATGTGTGCCAATCCAGAGGACTGTAACAGCTGCTGTGCGTGGTTGAGTGGGCGGTTAGTCACGACCGAGGAGGGGACACCGTTATATTGTTATTCGAGTAGGTACGTCGATCGTGGTTCGGTATTTCAACTCTATCCGTCCATTTACATAATACCTACACACACATACACAATACTATGTATTATAATTTATAATAAGTCTGAAGTCAACGGGCAGTCAACGACCAATTGCACGCGCCAAATTATTATTATTAGTATTAGTATTATTATTATTACTGTCGCCGTTATCTAGAAAGCACACTGAACAAACGGCTGTACTCGTTGTTTTTTGGGCTATAGCGTTTGTTAGTCATGCCTTAACGTTTTTTAAGAATAAACCGGACGAGACTTGTATAATTTATAGCACTAGGCACGTACCGAGAAACCGTAAGATAGTCTATGGATGTATTTTTATTTTTTCGTTTGTAACAGTATAATATCTAGTACAAAACGACAAGCTTCAATTGTCACAAAACTTTAGGCAAACAAAAGTTGAAATATTAATTTTTTGTACTTGAGCGCATATCTTTAAAATTAGTGACTATAATTAGAAATCAGATCAACGATATTTAAATAGTAAGCATTTTTGTCTGATTTTTACACTGAATAGCGTTTGTCCCTTTGAAGAACTGTGGTATTCAAATTATATCACTTAAAGATTTAAATTTACTACCTAGTATTTATACTGGTATAACATAATATTCTATCTAGTGTTGAATGTTATTTGTGTTTATTGTTAATAACTATGTATTGATGTACCGGTTTATTTATATTAAGTAAAAAAAAACGATTTTTTTTTTTAAAAGGACAGGCGTAAACACCGTGTGCTTTTAAACGTTCTACTAGAAGTAAATACAGTGTGGTCACTTGTTTGAAGGTATTGTAAATAGTTATACATTTGTAATTGAATAATACACACTCAAGACAAAAGTGAATCTGTAAATGTTATAGAAACCGTTTACATGTCTATACATTATTTTGTATATTAAAAAAACTATGGCAAAATCATGTTAAGGAGTATGTCGAATTACATTTATTTTATAAACATACTACATTTTTCAGATTATATTGACTATTACTTAAATTCAGCAAATTATTTAAATTAAAAAATTGAATTTTTGTGATGTTCTAAGTCATTATTATTATTTTAGTATCTAAATTTTATATGTTTCTTCTACGAAAAAACTTAATAGTTGGGCAACCATTTAAATAGTTAGCTAATAAGTTTATAGCAATAATAAATTTAGGGTAATAATTAAGATAGCCTTCTGAAACTATTAAATGAAAAAATATAGGACAAAATTAAATCAAAGATACAAATTTTTGTCGATAAAATGTATATCGATTAGCGCAACTAGATCAGAGGAGGCTAAGGAAGCTCAAACCTTTTAAAAACTGTGAAAGCTCCCTCAGAATTTCAGTAAAAATTATAAACCTTATTTGGGGCTGTGCCTAATTGGTTGCTGACTTTTTTTTACAGCGTGAAATAGTTTAGAACGATTTAAATTTCTCTAGCCCCCCTCTAGTTGCCTTAATTATTAATAAACATTTTTTAAAAAATTCTATTCATTGTTGTATTTCATATATTTATACTATTAAGTATACAGGTCTTTATAATTGCATGATAATAAAAGAAAAGTGTTAGTTAAATAATAATAATTGAGCTACTGCAACTGTTAGTGCTTTTTAGGAGTTAACATAGAGCTAGGTCATATTGTTATCACTTATCAATATGATCATAGATCAAAATTCTATAGATAGGTAAGTTGTACACCAGAATATCGGTTAATTGTGTTATTTTGTTCGCGAATACACGCTAATAACTTACAATAGAGGCTTGACAAATCTGAGTCGTCCTGAGGAAAATGTAAAGGCAATTTTTTTGACAATTATAATTTAGGTTTAAATATCTTGAAAATATAATACTCCGCGTAAACCAAACTGATGGAATCCATTAGTCAGTCGTTTCACATTGGATTTCTCTTGTCGACGGTCAATTAGCTGTGATATAAACATTAAGTACAACATATTTTTTATGCTAATCATTCCACGCAAAATGTCGTCAATCGACCGGTTCGCCTGCAATAAAGTTTATACGTGCGATTTATTTTATTTCAGTTGCCTGCATACAAAAAATATTATGCTACCAATAAAAATATAATGACTCATATACACACGCATAGATCCTAAGCGTATACGGCATACTAGAGAATAAAAAAAACACACGTTATAAGTTCTCATAATATTGTATTAATTTATATATATATATATATATTCCTCTTCTTCGTATATATTAGATTCCGCCAACACAATATTATTGTAGAAAACATAATAACGGACATAATAGGAAAACACTTCTTTTAAGTTTACACGGACGGTGGTAATGAAAACATTATGAAAGCATCAGCATTTCTCACATTATTAACAGTGGATAATACATGTTGTAATGCGTTTTAACGGATTTTGTGGAGTACATTAAGGTTATAGTTTTTACGGTAATTTTATTAAATCACATTAACCGACGTGAATATCTTAATTAAAATATTCAAGTATAGAATGTGTGTTAATGTGTATTATATTATAAATACTTAACAATTAAAAAAACAAAGAAAAAGTCTAGCGATTACTTACAGTTACTTCTTAGTCCTTCTAGTCAAATCGTACTAATTTACAGATAATCCTACTGTAAACGCATTGAAATTTATAATTTATACTACTTTTTTTAATAATTAGAGTAATTTACTATAATAAGATAACGTTAGTCGTGTTGCCCTTGTAACAAGCATGTAAAATGAAGGGTCTGATAAAGTTCCGGGCGAAATTCGTATTTACTTGCAAACTAAAAATAAAATATGTTTTTTAGAAATAGAAATTGTTTGGTCGGAATTTTATCCGGACCTTCATGTAAATAAATATAAAAGTTAACATAAAACATATTTTATTTCCCTGTTAGTATAGTTTCAGCTTGTACATGGGAATCTTATTAACGTAAACCGCTTGTTTTTACCTAAAATTAAGAATCGTTATTGTTTTACTTTGTAGTTAATGTATAGCTAATATTTTGGCTTTGATGTTTTTTATTTTGTTTTATTCATCAATTTGCTACTTGTAAACTGTTATACTAGAGTTCAGTTCAGGTTAAGGCGTCCACATAAAAATATGCTTATTATTTACCATTACACCACCGCATTTAATTGACCCATGTTGTGGTCTACTGCAATCTTATTCCAATATTACGCGACCCGTATCGCATCGGACTTGCGGTTTTTCAAACGAAAAAAACGATATAAATAAGAGAATTTACCCGGAGCTATTGCTTGTGAGCTGGAGCAATGGTAAATAATAATTATTATTATTATTTGACCACCGGTTACTATTGTTTCGGGTGCTATATGTTTGTCCGAGCATATTTACAGGGAAAGTCATACCTTATATCTATACGAGCGTGACGTCTTCCACTCATAATATGTTAATGTTTGTGTCTTATTGGAGTGCCCATACCAAACCCACCCGCACGCCATGCTCATGCATTGTTACCAAATCATTCGAATGTGTGTATAAATCATAAAACAGTGGTCTCTGCCCTCACGCATTCACTATATCCGTTTGCCGATAATGTAAAGGTCCGAAGAGTTCTAAGACTTCTCCTACTCCCATTTGTGGAGGCTAAAAAATAATAAAAATATAATAAGCTCTTGATTCTATAACAATATGGGGTCTTCTAGGTCTGACAAGCCGTTATGGTAATATCGTCTGTTATACCTACGCCTACATTTTGTTTCACGCCGTAATTCGACTATACTGTTGATATAATATTATATATGTAAGTCGAATATTTGGTCTGGTCATCGCGGCTTTATGATGGCGTCATCTGTAGTTTAAGTAGAAGAAATTTTAAGTTTTCTTTGCGGCAAAGATGAATACCATATAAATCTCATTTTATTGCTCTGCTGGCCGAAAAATACTGTCGACCGCCGAGAAAGTCTAAATGTGTGTTTTTACGTGGTCGTTCATTAGTTCGAGTATGTAGAGCATATGTTATACCAACGGTAGGCGTATGCTATGTGCAAAAGGCAAAATATCTTTTGTGCGCAAAGTAAACTGCGTTAAACTATTATTAATTCCTACTAACGATTAATAAAGTAATCGATGTTGTTACGTAACGTGCACATTTGCT